CAGGACCACCCCCCCGGGGACAGGACCCCTCCCCGTACCAGGACCACCCCCGCGGGGCCACCCCGGGGATCAGCTCCGGCCATCGGGATGAACACAGCCCCGTCCCTGCTCCCCCGGAGCCATGATCCAGGGTGGAAACTCCAAAGATCCGTCCCGCCAGTGGTGGCACCAAGCGCATCCTTGGATGGGTGCGGGGCAGCGGCTCGGGAAGCTCCCGATGCTGGACGCGACCCCTGGGATCCCCACGGTTCCAAAGGATCCCCCACACCTCCAAGGGATCCACAGCGGTTCCCAGGGATCCCGGATTGCTCCAAAGGATCCCCATGGCTCAAAGGGATCCCACACACCTCCAAGGCATCTCCGCAGTTCCCTGGAATCCCCATGGTTCCTGGGGATCCCAGATAGCTTCAAAGGATTCTCAGGAATCCTTTGAATTCCCTCCTTGGGATCCCCACTGATCCCCACAGCTCCCCAGGATCGCCAGGATTCCTGACATCTTTTTGGCGTCTCATGGAGTTGCCAAAGAAAAGGAAAAGCGGAGAGGAAGCCCCATTCTCAAACTGTTTTTATTCCCTTCCTGCCAGCGGGACGATGGGCTCCGGAGTGGAGCTCTCTGCTCCCGGCTGGCATTCCTGGCTCCGTCGGGACAGCGCGTGGCCGCTGGCTCCCTCACATGGCGAAGAGGATGAGGAAGGCCACCATGAGGCAGAAGAGCCCCATGGCTTCGGAGAGGGCGAAGCCCAGGATGGCGTAGGAGAAAAGCTGCTGTTTCAGGGACGGATTCCTGCGGGAAGAGCAGGGCACCTCAGTGGGATGCGGCCGGATCCGGAATCTCCCGGCTCCATCCCGCCGAGCTGCCCCTCACCTGGCATAGCCGATAATGAGGCTGCCGAAGACGGTGCCGATGCCGGCGCCGGATCCAGCCACCCCCACGGTGGCGGCGCCGGCGCCGATGAACTTGGCGGCCGTGTCAATGTCCCGGCATGCGGCGCTGCTCCGGATGCTCCGGCAGCCCGGCGGGCTCTGCAGGGCGGCGGGAACGTGGGAGGAGCAGCCGGAAAGCAGCGGAGCCTCCAGCGCCCTGAGCTCCCCCACGGGAAGCGCTGGACTCCGCTCCTCGAGCCGAGAGCGGGGACAACCGATCCCCGTCCCCAAGGCGCCAGGAGCATCCCGGTGGGAAGCGGGAGCGTTACCTGCTCCGTCCGGGCGTCGGGGCCGCTCCGCGCGGAGGCTGCGAGGGGCCGGCTCAGCAGCCGCGAGCTCGTCCGCACCTGCGGGGACCCCCCGGTGTCACCGGTGCCACCACGGGCACCCGCTGCCATCCCGGCGCATCCTGGAGGATCCCGGCTCATGCTCCGGGGTCCATCCCGGCGCCGGACGGGGGGTAACGAGCAGCTCGGGGAGCAAACGCTCTTTAAGGGGGTGTCCCCGGAGGCGCCCCCCCCCGGGAGCTGCCCTCCCGGCTCCACGGAGCATTCCCGGCATGCGGGTCGGGATCGGCGGCTACTCACGAGCGCGGGAGCGGAGACGAACTTGGCGCAGGACAACATGGCGGGGGGGGCGAGGGGAGGGGGCTGCAAGAGACACGGGGGGGGTGGGGAGGGGGTCAGGGTCCCTGTGACCCCTTGGGGACCCTGGGGCTGTCACCGGGTTCCCAAGAGGGGACGGACCCCTGGGCGCCCCATCCACATTGGGGGGGAGAAGATGATTCCCACCCAAAGGGGGGTCACGCCCCCCCCCCCATTTAGGGGCTTCTCTCCCCACTGGGGGGTTCCCCTCCCCCTCCCTCATGCTATGGGGGGGTCACCCCCCCCAATCCAAGAGGGTCTTTTCCCTCCCCTGGCACTTGGAGGGGGGGGGTCTCTCCCTTCCCCCGTTCCTATGGGGGGGCGCTACTCCCCTCCCCCCCCCAAAAGGTGCCCCACACCCCCCCATCCCAAGGGGGGGTTATCCCCTCCTCCCACCACAAAAGGGAGCCCCTGCCCCCCCCGCACCCCGTATGTGGGGGGGTCCCTCTCCCCCCCCCATCCC